TGCCACGCATACGTCCAACTGAACCAACTGCCACGCAGGACGAAATGACACAACCTGTTACGTGCGTGCCACTTAGGATGCCAACTCATCGAGTATTAACAACGTAAGTTTGACCAAGCGTGAAACCAACTAGTGTGACAAACATGAGAAGAAGTTAGTTTTAGTCAATAGAATAGACTCTAGAGCCATTCACCTCATACAAGACTCACATTTGACAGTCTTCACAATAAATAGTGGCATGAAATTTGAATCCATGGTGGTAGTGCATTAATGAAGTTTAATCTATTGTCTGCCACCAGTTTGGTGGCGCACCTGGCGGTGGCCTCACCTGTCCTTGAAGGGTGTGGTCGGTGTTTGTTAATTGTCAGGCAATGCAATGAAGAACACTTGCTGAGAATGGGCCGAGTTAAATTCTGATGTCTGATGTGTGGTGATACAGTGCACTTTGGGGCTATTTCTCTAGATAAGGAAATTTTGGATGGTGACTACCCCACACATTAAAAAATTGTCGACGACTTATTGTGCAGAACTCTACCCATTTGTATTGATGTTGTAACTTGTAAACCCATATGCCCTATATTCAGTATTGCACTTGCTACAAGATCAAGGCAGCTAGAAAATTGAAACTCCTGGTAAAAGAATTTTGATCAACAGCAAAAGGGACAGACACATGCATTAAGGGGAAAAAATCATTCAATATATAGAACAAGTTTTCTTTACATCTCTATTTCTTTTATAAACCCCTGAGTTCATATCCTGTGTAGCAGCTAAGCTGCTAAGTATAAATGCTATACAATTCTTTTTTAACTTAAATCAATGAGTATAATCTTCATACAGTCTGAAGAACTTCATTGTCTGTCTTCGCGTTGGTAGACTTCGGTGGAAACTTCATCGCCTTTACACGGAAAGCTGCCTGCAGAATGCATCGAGAGTGAGTTCGATGCATATAAACATTCAGTATTTTATAAAGGCAAAGCAAAAAAGAAAAAGAAAAAGAGTACAGGCTGTAATATTTTCTTCCACCAATGAGGTTATGTGAAACAGAAGTAAATGGATCCACATTTCTCATTCCAAGATGACAATTTAAAAGGATTTAGGCAAGCAACAAACGTGGGAAAAAGAAGAAAAATAACCTTTTTATCAGAACCAAATTCGATTACATCGGATGGATGAAAACGAACAGGGAAGTTGGGAGACGCCCTATATCGCCTGCCCTCATTACTGCAAAATATTTTTTTTTTTGGGTAAGATGAGGATGTTTATGAACCAACGACAACAATCATAATCATATAATTAAATTATTGAACTGTAGTCGAGGTGCGCGAAAAGTTGGCCCGGACATCCACGGTTATCAAAAAAATAATAATAATTAAATTATTGAACTGTCTTTTGCACGAATAAACTTCTCATTACTTACTCAGTGATCCAGGTGCCATGTTCACTTCTCAAGTCAGTTACAAAAAATGCTCCATCTTTGTAGCTTATCCGAGCATGCGTCTTAGAGACCTGCAATAATGTCAACCCTTTTTTATAAAGAATTAAGTGAAAAATATAGAAATACTTCAAGATATATTTTATAAGGATACGGATGTAATTAGCCATGTCACCTGAGGGGATGATATAGCTATTGATACTCCAGGAAAGTTCGGATGTGACACGCTCCTAAGATCAGAAAAGTACTGTTGTTAGCAACACTAGAGTTATCGTGCTGCGAATGCATAAAGAAATATTTTGGAGCTGTAATTTAACTTCCAGTAGACCAGTACAATGTATCTTATAGAAGCTGTATGGAGAAAATGGTTTAGTGATTTCATACCCGATGATGCATGGTTTCTTCTCATCTCGGCTTAAGAAGATTGTTTCAGATGTAGCAGTTGAATTTCCCATAGGAAACAGAAACCAACTACAAATGACCAACAAATAGACCAACATAATTTTTGAGCTTCTTGAACACAAGTAGATGATTTCTAAATTTAAGGAAAACAATGACATGACATAACAAATGCCGTACTCACTCTGCATTAAGTGCGCGCTCCAGGGCATCATCATCTGCAAACCATCTTCGTAATTGATCGTTGGCCTACAACCATTAGAAAACATAAAATCAGCTCTTAAATGAGGAGCCATTTTTTCACCCAATCAAGGAGCATAGAGTAATAAACTTCCGAGTATGCTGACTGTGCATTTAGTTTCTTAAGCTACATACTTTGTCTGAGAGTCTGCACTGCAACAATCTTCCTTCAAGGTTTGAGCTGAAAAAGGTAGAGTCCATTACTTCATGTACGGTAAATTAATACAATTCACATGAAAAATAAAGCTTATACTATAATGGAGATTTTCTGTATGAAACTTAGTAAAACTAATTGTCGAGCCTCTCAAATTCAGTAAATTATTCTACTGAGTATCAAGATTTCAAGATGTGAGAGGACTCATTTTGCAATAAGTAATTACTTCAAGAAGTATCAATCAGTTTAACTGTGAATCAATATTTTCATAATTGTCGTTTAGTGGAAAGAAAACGAGGGCAGATGCTTAAAAGTCAGTTATAATCTAACACTAAGTTAATGGTGGACGAAAAGTCATCAAATCTCACCCGTTACCTCCAAGAACCCAATTTAGCATTAAAGGCATACCGACGTCGATAAAGACTCTCCCACCAACTCTTCCAGGATGTGGTATCCTAAAATTTGTCAAGAACTACACAAACAAACAATAGGCTTCAATGAAACTGCAGGAAACTCTTGTGCCAAACTGGAATTATTTCAAGTTATTACAATTTTGTAATTGGAATGGCAAATATTTTTACCGATAATGGACCAAGTCCCACGCCCAGGTATGCTTTGTATGTTGATGCCATAATTGCAGCCATCCTTGCTAGTCCATGAATAATTGCAACTCGTAGCCTTCGAGCGCTCTCATACCTGAAGTAATAAAAGTAAAGATAGAGAACCACGCAATTGGATAAATTGTGACATAGTATATTTACATCTGAACCATTCTTCTAAATTTATGACTTCTAAGAGAATAGCTCCATCTTACGGTTTATGCAGAAATGGTAGCAGAAAGATGTCATATGCCTGTCAACTTCAATCTCCAATATATTTTTTTGTCTTCATAGCCATTGCAAGCCATGCAAGTTTATTTCATAAGAAACCTTAGGTTCATAAATCCTCTAGATTTTGAACAAATTATTACTTTAAAGAAACCCATAGTTGACTTTATAAAGTTTGCCAGACGGCAATAACAGCCAGTAAATCATGTTTTACCTCTTTAAAGAAGAAATGACATCAATGTGGGTTCCTGACTCCACACTTTTCCTCCAAGCTTTGTCCAGCTCCAGTGCCAATTGATAGCTATCCTGCACCATGAAGAAAAATAATTCAATATGAATTCTAGTTCAGAGCTAGAAAGAACGCTAAATACAACCAAGTAAAAAATAAAAATAAAATAGCAGACATAATTATATAGTGTTTTTTTAATACATAGAGTTGCAAAAGGGAGAGACAACTATTAACATACAAGTGTAAGCATAAGAAATTCAAGCTACGATGTCTAATATATATATCAAGTGACATATACCAAAGGCAAGAAGACGCAAAACTAAAATAGCTAAATTGTGTACCTCAATGGCCATACATCCCCCTTGACCCAAGTTGGGCTGCATAGCATGGATTGAATCTCCAAGCAAGGTTACACGACCCTTTCCCCACGTAAAAGTTGGTGTCCTATCATATATGTCACGTCGAAGAATTGCATCTTCATCCGTGGTTAGCAATAGATCTATTACGTTATCACACCAACCTTCAAATAATTTAAGCAACCTTTCCTTTTTACCTGAAATTGAAGGGGGGGAAGAGAAAATTACACCTGAAATACTTTGAAGATAAGTTATTCTACTTTGCACAATTTTCTTTCATGCATCTTAATCCTCCAGGACATTACCGCAGACAATAATTAAATGTAATCTAGAATATATACTTGTCATTTGTACTTCCATTCACAGTTAAAACTCTTAAAAGGGAATTTCACTTGAGAGAGAGAGAAAGAGAGCTCTTTTAATCCAAATACTAGCAAAAAAAGAGAAAACAGCATAAATGTCTCTCCACGAAAAACAAGTAAAAGAAATTATGCTCAAGCTTGTATATAAAATAACATTCCGTTTTTTCTGCTTTTCAAAAAATTGAATGATTGAAGTTTTATATTTGTTCTGCAAATAGTTGCAGAATAATAATATTGTCATCTTTTAGTCAACGAAATGTCATGCAAGATTTAACACCAGAAAGCTCTGTGAATTATGCCTTAAGAGGGCTTTGCAACTGTTACATTAGCTTTATCTATTAATCTTATATTGGCAAGAGAAAAGCATTCCAAGAGTAACTACCCTGCAGAACATCTACACCACCAGCTGGTTCGTTGTAAAATGCATACCACTGCATCTTTCCTCCACCCACATCAGAAGAAACAAAGTACTGTTTATGTCCCAAAAATACTCGATACCTTTAAAAGAAATTCAGAAATATGAGATTCTTTCTCAGAATATATAGCCTAAGTCGACGGGTATATACAAGGATAAGATGCAACATGTCAAGCATATACAACATACCCAACAGTCTCAATATCAGCAGGAACAAAATCTGCAATTCCAGTGTAACAAGTGTAGCCCGAGTATATAGCTTCCGTTGGTCCAAACAAATTTCTCCTCACCTATGTGAAACTCATCATCCAATATATCAGAGTCAAGAGACACTCAAATTGCATTGTATAATATGATCTAGAAATTACATAATTGCACGCATGCGTTTGCCCTTAATCATCCAATACCAACAGATTTCCAATCAAGAAATTTTAACCAGAATATTCCAACAAACAAAAAGGGAAGGTATTTATATAACCAGATATTTACAGTTAATCTTTCAGCAAATATCTGTAACTAGAGTACCATGCAGTAATATTTAACTTCATTTTTGTTGACAGGCAAATAAATTCTTAATACTTCTTATTCTCATTAAAGAATACAGTAATAAACATAACAAAAATGAAAAAGAGAGATACCTTCGACCTGATTCCATCAGCACCAACTAGAACATCGCCTTCATAACGCTGTCCATTCTCCAGTATCACAGTAACCTGAATTTGCAGAACACAAAGTATGAAGGTGAAAAATTAAGATTTACAGAAATATGAGGAATGTAATCCACATCTACCTTAATTCTTTTATAGGATGGAAAAGAAAATTTCAGAGCAGATAAAACTACCTTTTGGCCATCATCCTCGAAGTTTACTACATTGCTTTCATTCATGATGATATCTTCTCCAACCGCACGAGCAAGGATTTGTTGCAATGTCATGCGGCTAATTACTCTAGTGACTGGAAGTCCCCGTTCTGCTGCAGGAGTGAATGTATCAAACTTGATGTACCTGATAATCAACTAATTAATCATTTTAAGCAATTTTTCTGATACAAGCTAGAGGTCATGAGAAAAGAATTACTTATACAGTGTACCGCACATTATCCAACATAATATTGTCATTAGTGCCTAATTTCAGTCACTGTACACTTGCCCTCCGTAGTTCTTTTTCAATTGATCAATGAAACTAAATTGGATTGCTCTTGTTCTCCATGTACCAAACATAAACGAAAACAAAGAAAATACACATAAAAATTTGAAAAACTTTAATTGAACAAGAACAAAAAGCTGATAGCCGTAATTCTATGAAATACACTAAACGATAATTTCTAACAGAAAACCTTAATCTTTACTGGTCAGTGCTATGTGTTACACAAGTCAAATTTTAGATGCATGCATTCATATTAGATTGGGGCAAGCAAGGATGACAACTGAGGATATAGGACAGAGAGAAGCCACACTGAGAATGTTAAGAGGGAGAAATACAAGAGCTTCATAAAGAACATAAGAAGCTTATATGGCAAAAATGCAATTTCAAATCTTAAGTTCATGCCTTGTGCTCAACCACGTTCAGAAAAGAATTTACGAAAGCCTCAACAGCAGAGTTACGGGTAAAATGCATTTTGTCGTATCTCTTCTAGCATATCAGCTATTTCACAAGTGATGACAATTTACTCTCCTTCAAACCAATGGAAGTTAAAAGATGCACACATTGTTTTAACATCAAAATCTGTTATTCTGTTCAATTCCGTTCAAAATTTCATGTGCTTGTAGTAATTGATATTGATCACTACTGCCCTTTGGCTCAAATCAGAAATGGAACTACTGAGGAAGACCAAAGTGGTGACAGGCAATTTTTACCTTCAGTTATTAGCTCTAGTTAGCTCCATAAAATTGCCCATCACCAACACATATAGCCAGCATAACTAAAATCACATACTGATAGATGAATGGAAATGAATCACATGGCTTGCAAAGTTTATCTACCATCCACATTTCTACGCTTTAACACCCCAAAATTCTTAGCTGGCATAGGCTCAGCGCGGTCAGAAAAAGGAATGATTAATAACAAACACGAAGCCAATAACTATCCTCTCTGAGTGACAATTCATTATATTCCTCAAACACACTTCTTAATTATTCTAAAAAATGCTAAATATTTAAATAGACACACACAAACCTAACTACAATAAATTAGAATAAAATAGACAAAGAAACTTTAGACATACTTATACAAGCAATTCACACTCTTAACTTATTAATGAAACTATTAAATCAATCTAGCTTATTGGTGACGTGTGTGGTGAGACTCAATTTAAATAAATAAATATGTCCCGTGCTGAAAAAGTGAAGCCCCTACTTCTGGTCCTGGATATTCGAAGAAGTGCCGTCTAGTACTAATAGTCTTACTTAAAGAGTTAGGTATAGGTCTAGATTTAATTTAGTGAGTCACGACATCAATTAGCTAAAGCTTTACAAAGGAAATAACAAACTTACCAATTGCCAGAAATACCATCAACCAAGCCATTAATCCGGTCACCGGTGATGCAGCCGGCACTCATAACTTCTTCAGCCACAACCATATCAATAGCTTCCAAAGTTGCCAATGCATTGCTCTGTATCTGAATTGGACCCCTATACTGTCCCTCCCCTCTGATGGCACTCAAATCCTTCTCAAACACCAACACATCAAACCCCTTCTTCTTCGCGCCCAACGCGAAAACCAGGCCGCCAATACCTCCACCAGCCACCAAAATCCTCAGCTTCCTTTCCGGTGGCCTTGAATTTGTATCAGTTGCAGCCGGTTCTACTTTTGGAGCTTGAGCCAGTGTGGCCTTCACTTTTGTCAGTTTCTTGATATGCCCATTTTCTCGGCTTCTTGAATAGAACTTGTTGTGGAAAGAATCACACACTTGTGCTGGAAAATCTTTGGATATGCCCAGATGGGTTCTAGAAAACACAGCTGTTGATATATTTACTGGATTATAGAGCACAGGTGAAATCATTTTAATTTGAGGTAACTGAACAACACTTGATGGTGTTCTTAAAAAATACAATCTTGAAAATTTATTGCAGCAAAATGGAAAAGACAACAAATGAGAAGCGAAAAAATAAACTGAAGTCTGCTCTCCCTCCACTTTCGTGGTTTTGGTCTGTGAGACTGTGACACTAACGGTGGTGGTGGGGCCACAGCAATTCGGAGCCAATCATAAGACAAGAAGCTGCACCGAAGATGCGGATTTCATCGCCATGTGGCACGATCCTGTGGCCTATCTGCATTACTCAGCACTCAAAAGATCTAGACACATGTTGTGGATGCCATTTTTCTTTTCTTTTTTTCTATATTTTGATATTTTCTGTTCGAATTCTATTGTGAATTGAAAATCAATTATTGGTCGACTAAGAACACAAATCTGATTTGTTCAAAAAAATTAATCAATCACCAATAATCAAACAGCATTGGTATATATGAAAGTTCCTGAACGCGATTACAGCAGGACTTCTTGTTTACAAAATTTACTCCACCGCCAATCAATATAATTAGTGGATAATACTTGTAATTTCTATAAACTATATGTGGCCTATATCTTTTGATTATTTTCTCCATTATAAGTGCAGAAAAGACGCCAAATTCTGAATAAAAAAATGCCTAAAACAACAAGTGCTTTGCTAATTCATGCCTACTTTTTATTGAATAAATAAAAAGTAAGTTTAAGTGCTTAAATATTAATTGCAAGGATAATTGTCACAGTAAGTCTTATGTTTGCCAGTTTCGTGAAATATTCCCATAACATTTAATTTTAGCGTAAAACTCTCCCTAAATCGCGCCGATTATAACATTTTCGTCCTTTTTCCTTGTAAAACGATGAATTTACCCTCCTCTTTAATTTTTTTTAAAAAAAAAAAGAAGAAGAAGAACAAAAAAAAAATATAATAATAATTGCATCCATAAGCCCCGAAGATTTCAAAAAAGTGCAATTAAGTCCTAGTTAAAACAATTAAAAGAATTATTTCTTCTACACCTCCTCCACCACCACCACCAACAGAATTTGGGAACAAAAATTAAGAAATTTAAGAAAAACATTAGAAATTTAGAAAAAAAAAAAACTGATAATGATTCTAGATTCTTCTATTGTTTCTTTTCTTTCTTCAATTTGAACGTTTGCTATCGATTTATTCATCAATGAGATTTATTAAGTTGTTCACATATCTGTGGTTGGTGCAGTAGCAACGTCTTTTGGTGGTCGTGGTGGTGTGGAGGAGGAGGTGGTGGAAAAGAAAGAATTTTCTGAATTTTTTGATTTTTTTTAATTAGGACTCATATGCACTTTTTAAAAATTTTGGGGTTATGAATACAATTAATTCTTTTTTTCATTTTTATTTGAAGAAGAGGGTAAATCGTAATTTTACCAAAAAAATGGCAAAATGTTTATTCCGCAACATTTGGGTGATTTAGGGTTTTTTTTTTCCGTAAAACTGAAAAGTTAGGGAGGTATTCCACAAGACAAAAAACGTTATGGTGGTAATGTATTAATCACTCGAATTGCAATTGCCAATTAGTGGGGGAAGGGCCGGTGGCATTGAGACGATGATTTGAACTAGTTTTAACTATGATTTAAAAAAATAAATAGTCTCCCTTACGTATGTGCATTTGTTCACAATATGCGGTGATAGGAAGACAAGTAGAAAAATTCGTCGGTCAATCTCAAGCTTTTGTATTATCTCAAATCAAATAAGCAACTTATACTCATCACTCAAATTGCAGCTTTATCAAGTTTAGGTTAAATAAATTATCTTGGCCCACCCCAGAAAAAATATAATAATCGATAGATAATAAAACATAGAAAAAGGAATGGAAGAAAACCGAAAATAAATAGTTATAAGTCATTATCGTGAAGTCCTTTTACGTGTGATGGAATGCATGCGCACCAATTATACCCAAAAATATCTATGATTCTTCCAAATTACTGCTATATGTGGAGACAATTGGTGCACGATACCTTTTTTTTTCCCTTAGCTAGTCTGAATATAATGTTGTGCTTACCTTTTTTTCAAGTTTTTGTTTGTTTCTCTCTATTTTAATTTTTTTTGGAGCTCATTTTCAGTCATATATTGTTATATTTTTGCACGTAAATTCAATTTTTCTTAACTTTTTAATCACACATTCTGTAAAAGTTAGCCATTTCAAAGTTCATTTTCATTGAATAATAGTAGATAGACTGGGGCTTAATCATGAAGGAAAAGGTTAATTGACATTTAGGATAATGTTATGTATACATAATATTTTACACAATCTTTTACACTTTCTCACATGAAGGGGGCCCACACACAATAAAATATTTGTGGGCCCCCGGGTGTAAAACTATGTGTATATTTGGATGGATAAACTTCACTGTGGATACTGGATCCCAACATTTCTCATTTGTGGAAATTTCATTCACATTCTTTTATCATCTCTCCCGTCCCGATCTTTCATTTATTTTCTCATATCGTTCCTATTGACTAGTTCCATCAATTTGTCATTAACCTAGTTTCATATACAGCATGTAGGCAAGCAAACCCAAAAACCTACCTGATAACCTGCGAACCGACCCAAATCAAGTCGATTTCGCGATTAATATGTCCATCCCTAACTGCATGTGTACTTTATCCCTAGGGACAATTTCGTCAAGCCACTTTAACCATCAATCTTTTAAAGTGTTAAAGATTATTTTTTAACCGAACACAATTCAAAAGACTGCTCATTTTCGAACCTTACTCTTGTAGTATCTATGGACACATCTCCTATTGGAGGAATATCTTTCCTATTTCTAGGTGCTCCTCTCAGGACGCCCATTGTTCACTTCCTTGTCAACGGGTTGATTTCTCCATGGCCCTTGGTTAGGCGGCAGGTTCATTTAGGGTTGCCCGTGGTGGGCATTGCATGGCGAGTAATTGCATCTGTTGTTGTAGGGAGGTTTACATATCAGCGTGTTGGTTCGCCATCTGCCTCATATTGGTGGCTATACTAGCCATTTTCTAGTCAGACGGATAGCAACTCTACTAGTCTTTCTTGAGCGTCAAATAATTAATCACATTTTTGCAGTATAATTTGTTTTGCTAATTCAAAAATGCAATGGACAAATGAGTTTTTTTTTTTAATTTCATCTTAAAGAAAAATTTGGACAGAAGTTATAACCAGGAACAATTTAAGTTAATTTAAGAATAAGAATGTGGTAAAAAAAAGTTTTGAGACATAACGTGTGAAGGTTATGAACAATTCACGCAATTAAAATGATTAACTATTGAAAACGTTGTTGTGAATATATGTAGCCTAATATAAATGGGTTCCAAACAAGCATATAACAAATATTTTTGACTCCCATATTGACTTGGTAGTACTTGCACTACTAAGCTTGATGCCTTGATCATATGTAAATTTTGAAATTTTCTATATGCTAGAAATTGTACAAATACTCACATGGGGTGGGCCCCATGTAAATTAAATATTGTCCAAAAAAATGGGGCCCACCCCCATGTATGTATTCTGTATGGTTTCTTTTTTTTGTTCCTGTACATATGGATGTTCTCGTAAATTTTTATGTAGGTGGTGTTTGCCATATCAAAATAATTTAGATGTTAGCACTTATTAGTTTGATTTGAGTTTTTTAATAACTGAATTGGACCGTTTGTAGATGAGATAAATCTATATGTACATAATTATTGTATATAATGGATTACATATGCCCATGTGAAAGAAATTCGGCCGTAGATGTGAAGTGTGAAAAAGTTAAAAATTGTAGACTACTGATGGATGCGCGTCACATGTCAATTATGTAATGTATTATGTAAATGATTATGTACTTGTAGCATGGTATAGATGAAGTTTTTAAATTTTTACGCCTATGTCTGGGCTCCATTTTTCAAAATTCATTTTCAATCCTACATTCTTTCATAAAATAATTTTACTCGTAATTGAAAAGCTTTTCTTATTTTTTAATCATATATTCTCCAAAAAATTATCATTCCAAAATTAGTTTTTAACCAAAAATAAGACTCAAACAAGGACATATATAGAATTAGCATTCCATTATAGTAGTAGAACTGGACAGGATCGAAATTGATCAGTTCCAGTTCTACTAAAACAAACAAACAAAAAAATTTAAAAACATAGCATGGAAAAAAAATGTTGTGAACATCGAATTCTCCAAAGATCACACAATATCCCATAGGGACCCCCCAAGTATTTGTCACATGGGACTGCATTTTAGTTTCAGACAACATCTGCCAACTCGACTTAGTCTCATCTGGACAAAATCTGACCCTCTTTTAATTCACCATTTTCAAATGGAAAAAGTGTCTCAAATCTGAGTCCTCCGAATGGAAACCAAAACCTATACACATTTCCTCAAAACATACAGTTCTATTTTCCTATTCAATTCTGAGCTTTCACACCGGAACAACTTTCTTTGAATATAAACAGTTCTCTTTTGACCCACAAAAATAAAAAGTTAATCCACGCCATTACTGCTCTGCTTAAAGTAAATACATATATCCTTGTTCGTGAAGTATAAACAAGAAAGTCTTCAAGAAGATAGACAAAAGGCAAGAATTACAAAGTGGAAGCAAGAAATACTTCAAAAGCTTCATTTTTATAAGTTTTGGTCCAATCAAAGGTAGGTTCTGACCCACATCCTTTTATGTTCTTGAATTTTTTATTGTTTTCGGGCTTCATCTGTTTTTGTATATGTGTGTCTGTGAAGCTGGAAATTTTGGATTTTTAGGGAAGGTATAATAATATAGCTCTATTGAAAATGAAAGGTGGGATTTTTGTGCAGTTCTGAAAATGAAATTTAGGGTTTAAAAAAATAAAAAAAATAGTTATTAATACACTTATCAACACAAAGTTTCTGATTTTTCAAGAACTTGGTTCTAACTCTCTATCTATTTCACTATGGAATTAATAAGGTCAAGGACAAATTTTTAGATTGGAACAATTGATGAAGCAATGTGTCTAGGTTGAACTAAACGTCAGTCATGAAGAAGAATTCTGCATCGTTAAGAAATTCGGGTGCATATACCAGCCCTGGAACGCCAGAGTATGGTGATAACAACGTGGGGGGAATTCCGAAGGGTTGGAGTTCCGAGCGAGTTCCGATTCCTACTAATAGTAGCCGAAGGCATATTAATGCTGCTGCATTTATGCCATTTAATAGTGGAAGGACCCTGCCTTCGAAATGGGATGACGCTGAGAGATGGATTACGAGCCCAGTTTCGGGATATGGTGCTGGTAAGACATCGACTGTGCTACCTCAGAGGCGACCAAAGTCCAAGAGTGGTCCGCTGGGGTCTCCAGGACTTGTGTATTTATCCAATTATTCGCCCATCACGCCTGTGCTGGAAAGTGGAAGTGTGACAAATTTCGTGGCAAGCTCACCACTTACGACCGGGGTCTTGGTGCCCGATGGCTTATCAATTCATAATGGTGCTGGCATTTCTGCAAAATCAAAGTCTCTTTATCCTGGGAATAGCATGGCTCGATCAACTAGCGTGCCTGGCTTGTCAGATATGCTAAGTGAATCTTCAATGCCAAGTTCTCAAGGTATATAGCTCTTCCCTTTCTTTCCGGCCTCTGTTTGTGATCGAATGCTCAAGCTTTGGCATAATTCAATATAAACATACATTAGAAAATATGTTGCTTTACCATTTAATTAACTGGGACATTAGTTTTCTATTCAATTGTGCAATATATCTATTTTCTACAGTTGCTGCAGCAGTACTTCAGTTATTATGCAACTTCAAATTATCTCCGTGTGAATATACCTAAACCCTGATGATGAAACAATACGATGAGTGAGTGTGACTGCTGTAAGAAAGCTCTGATTATTCAATTTTAGTGAAATATTTTGTGTTCATATTAAACTCAAAGCTGTTAAAAAATCAGCACTAAATATAAATTATAAGCTGACATGATCCCCAAAAAAAATTCTAAAATGTTAAAAATGTAGAGCTTTATCAGTTACTAGTCATGATGATTCCTCGACCACAGGCAATTGATATCTGCCTTTAAAAAATTTCAACCTACCACTACCCTGTTTGGGTGCTGGGAGGATTAGACTAAGGCGTTTGAAGTTATTGTCCTCAGATCTTAATCTGTGACACAGTTCCTGAATCACACATTCCGACTAGTTTTGTGAAAACTGGAGTAAGAGTTGTGATAGGTTATTACGACCAAACTGTTTATGCTAACTAAATATCTGTTGTTTCCATCATTGATGAATTGGATGGTTAGATGATAAACCTGATAGCACCAAGAAGGATGAAGCTGCAGTTTCGTGGGATGTTTCACGTCGGGATATGGCAACTCAGATGAGCCCGGAAGGCAGCACGCATTCATCTTCCAAAGGAAGGTTATCATTCTCCAGTCTCCCTTTCTCTGTCCCGAGTTTAGTGGAGCCACACAGCAATCATTGGGCCAAAGATGAAGTCAGGGATGTCCAAGTAGACAAAGGCGTCACTGTAGCCAGGCAGTCCAAGAAAAAAGGATTGAGAAAGATGAGAGGTTCGCCAAATGCTGCAGAAATACCTTCACGGTTTGATGTTGCAGAGGCATCAAATAGCTTGGCAAAGTACGTATTTTTCCTCAGAACCTTAGGGATATTTAATGCACGGTACTGGACTAGACGATATAAGGAACAATATTTTAGCTTATTTTTCTTCTCTAAGACAGTCTCTGCTACTATTCAATCATCTCAACCAAACATATCATAAGAGTAAAGGTCCATTAATTATTGAATTAGCAGAAATAACTCCCAACGCCTGGATAATATTCACCTGTGTCTCAGCAGTAAAAGTATAATCCCTATCGATTGAAAACCACCTTTTGTTTAGGTAAATAAACTTGACATGATCCTGCAAAGCAAAGCATACTTCTCACATGCATTGCTGAATTTTATTGGATATTCGAAAATGACTAATTACTCTATAGCTCCTTTTTCAGTTATAATTCATTTACTATCTTGATCAGACAGTAATTCTTACTGTCTGTTGTAAACTTTCAATTCACATTACGAAACAGTCAAATGGGAAATTGGTTGTTATCCAATGCAAAGGATGTGATGGATATGTTTACTTTCTGTGTTTGTGCAGGCTGCAAAGAGAAGAAGCCAAGATCACTGCTTGGGAAAACTTGCAGAAGGCAAAAGCTGAGGCAGCAATGCGAAAACTCGAGGTTCGTCCGAAGTCAACTTTATATTATTAAAGTCAAATGTTTTAGTTTTTAGGTACACACTGAACACAGAAAATGATGCTTACAAATGCTTAAGAGTTACAATAACTGAACATCCATCCTTGTTTCTGGACAGCTAAACTTGCTTTCATTCATAATCCACGAGATCTTATTAATAAACTTGAATCTTGTATAGTTTGCTTATTATCTGATATTGTACGAACATGTTCTCTGATAACCTTATATCCAGGTGAAACTTGAAAAGAAGAGATCAGCATCCATGGACAAAATCTTGAACAGGCTCAAAACTGCTCAGATAAAAGCGCAAGTGATGAGAAACTCGTCCAAAGACCATGCTCAGCAAGCTCCAAAAACTTCTAAACAACGGGTTTTCTTCTGTACATATATCAAAATGGGTTCTTTCAGCAATTACTTTTGCTGCCATAGAAACTAGTCAGTCCTGCATTATCCTTTTCTTGTTCATTATTCAGTGATGCAGTGCTTCATAATTGAGGAAATTCTGTCAAAAATTTATCAGTCCTTCATTTTCTAGCCTCATTTTGATCTTTAGATTGACACAGTTAGCAACTGAAGTCATCTGGACAAAATGGTTAGAAAATTAAGTTTTGTTGGCCAACTATATGTAAGAGGAAATATCACTGGTAGCAGTCCAGATGGTGTATGACTAGGAATTACTATATTTGAAACTATAAATATTTGTGGATATTTAGAACTCTTTTATTATTATTATTTATTTTTTTTTTTTAAGAAGAAAAAAATAAAATAACTTCTGAAAAGAATTGATCAATGAGAGACGATCTCGAGCTGGCGTAAGAACTTACAAATATTAAACTAGACAAACTAATTTATGATTCATGCTTTTTCATGGTAGTTAATTTATGATTTATGATTTATGCTTTTTCATGAATGGCTAAAAACCAAGTAAAAATGGTCAATGCTTTGGGCTCAATGCAATAAATATGCAGGTTAAGGGTTGTATCCATTCTAGAATTTTTAATATTTGTATAGATCTAAAAAATTTAGGTACTTTTTTAAGGCTATAAAAATTTTGAGTTATTCAATAAAAACTCCTAAGGTAATAAATTAAGACTTTTAAAAATTCTTTGACAATCGAGGATATGCAAACCTTAAAGAACTGTTATTAAAAAAAGGATCGATTTCTAAAAAAAAATTCTTATAAGATTCTGTCTTCTTTTCCATTGGTCCTCCATTATTTTTGCAATTAAAATTTTGCATATTAACACAAAGAAGATATTAATTTTGCAATTAAATTTTTGCATATTGGTTGCTTGATTAGTTTAATAACTGGTCCGGGCAAAATGATAATATTGAACATTAAAACATTATATTTTTTTCATCGAAGATTATTAAAATGTTATAATTGTTCTTTCCTTAAATGACTCATATTTATTCAGACCAATTGCGTAATAAGTTATATACGCAAATTGCTGTATATACAAGATTTTTTTCGTTCTAAAATGAAAATCTGAAAAAAATTAAATGTATTTATAAAAGTCTTTGTATGAAAAAATTTCATTAATTCTATAGAAATCTATAAAGACAATAAAAGTTTATCCCTTATAAAACAGTTTATATAAATCAAATTGCACACACCCCCTTTAATCAATTTTCAATACATAATTCTTTACAATTTGTCACTTGAAAAAACAAGCTTAACATTCTTACAGATGCTTGTATAAACAGATCTCAAAATCATTTTGCTGGTGGCATGTTTGGCTAAAATAAAACTTCCTAAGTTTATTTTAATTGAACTTTTGTCCCAAACATGTTGAAATATGATACTTTTCCGGAATAATAACTTACCAACAAACAATATAAATTAACTTTAAACTTATTCGTGGTAATTATTTAAGTTAACCGTTGAGTTAGCCAACACGCAATCAATCTGAAAATTTACCCAAGGTGCCACGTGCATGTCATTTATGAATCTGGAAATTCAAAAAAATATTTCTCCCTTCACTTCAAGTTCACGGTAGTGAAATTATTTATACCGAGAAGATTCACACGCAACCATATGGTCTTCAGCCTTGTAGCGCGAAGTAACAGGAAATGGAAAGCACGCTGTTCTTAAAAGTTGTCTAAAAACATGAGCTGCTAGCATAAAGTTGAGTATTACATAAGAGGTATAAAAAAAGTCTTATTTTCAAACAGAATTAAACCAGAACAAATAAACACAGTAAATTTGGAACGAGTCTCATAGATGAGGACTTCAACAGTCGGCACAAGACCATTAGCAGATGCACCGAGGCATTGTGTCAATAAAAATAAATTTCAGTAGAGTTTTAGCTGTCCCTTTCAACCTCTAGTAAGGCCTATACCTGTAATCTGCACGGGAAGGCCTGCCACCACCCATGTCACCGCGCATACCACCACCGCGCATGCCACCACCGCCCATGCCGCCGCGCATACCACCGCCCATGCCATAACCCCACTGCCAAATAATAGGTTAAAAAAGGGTTAGCATTATAGCTCAAAAGCCAAGAAGATGCAGACATCAAATGGCAAAAATAATTTAAAACAACCAGATAATTAACACAATTAACTACCATGTCAGGTGTATCTACATTTTTACTAAACAATAGCTGAGAATGGATCAAAGTATTTATGTTACTACCAGAAAATTGTTATTGACATTACGCTTTATGTACTAAAAAGTGCAGTCCACATAACAAGTAAAATGGCAATAACTTTCTCCAACTTATAGACATGGTAAAGAGAACACATGCCATCAGATCCTAACATCAATTTTTTTCCCTGATAAAAAATGGCAATTTTATTTGTAATTACTTCCTATAATGTCATTTTTTAAGTCAGTAACTGTATGTTTGCTATCATCACTGTTTCTATCACTTTTTATAAATCTTGCATTAATAGCCATTTCTGACTGCGCCCAACTTGTTTCAAATGGTTCTCATGTAAGTGGTCTTCAACTTGAACTATTTTAGCAAACTAAAGAATAGGTTCATTTCTTTCTATCATCCAAATTCATATATTCTCTTAAACATTTTGTATTGAATGTAGTAAACACTGTAAACTCGTTCATTAGGTCCCGCCACAACCTTTTTTATGCTCCTCATTATTAAACTTGATAGTAGCCCAAAAAAGAAAAACCTAAGGCCTATACCCTACATGGTGTGGGCAAACTCTCTTGGGTTAACTTAGCAATCTTGACAAATAAATCGATCTATCCTGCAAGGAAAAAATTCACTACCACTTGAACCATTCTTAACTTTCTTGGTATGGCCAAATTCTCTAGGGTGAACTCTGCAATCTTGACGAATAAATCGATCTATCCAGCAAGGAAAAATATCACTACCACTCGACCCATTCTTGACTTTCTTGGTATGGCCAAATTCTCTAGGGCGAACTCTGCAATCTTGATGAATAAATCAATCTATCCTGCCAGTAAGGAAAAATATCACTCCCACTCAACCCATTCTTAAAAGTACTAAAGTGCCCAACCCTCTTCCCGGAAAAAGTTTTTGTTACGATGAGAACATAAACCAAGAAAAATCTAAATTGACACTCCACTCTCATCTTTATCCTTAAAAACCAGATCCAATACATAGCATGTCAAAGGCCCTTTCCTAACTGTCCGTTAATACTTGTCCCAGATACCTCTAAAGTTTTAGTTTGCACTATTTCCTCCATATGATCCTATAGTTTCTTCCTAATGCAACTCATAAATCTTATTCGTGGTGTTTAAGACCTCAAACTAATATCTGTGTTTATCTCTAACCACTCTTTGGATAGTACCTACATTATCTCCTATAATAACTTTAATCAACAGAATCCTAGCTATCTTCAAGGTTACCCAGACAGTATTGAATAGCAGCAGCAACCATTCTATGAACTTGATACAAGATCTTAAAGATGGAGAAGAGAATTTACACATCTCCAGGGTATCCACAGATCACATTTAGATTAAGCCCCCGTTTGACACCCATTTTCTTTTCATTCTCATTCTCATTTTTTTTCTCTTTCTTCATTTCAACCACAGATTCTATCAATAAAATAATATTACACATAAATCCAAAAATTCTCATTACTTTTTAACCACACATTCTTCCTTCAATCACTATTCCAGAATTTACTTTTTCTCCAAAATGGATGTCAAACAGAGGCTCAAAATCACTCTAAGAGCAACTAATAAACATAAAAGAAATAGACAAATGAACAAAGAACATACTCANATTGACATCTGGAATGAAATTCCAATTTCCAAAAAAGGCCATTGGATATTCTTGTGAGAATATAACACTCCACATCTCTCCACTTACATGATGGAGAAAATTATTTTTCATAACATAATTCCATCCTAACAATGCACTTTATTCAAAGTAGGTTTTAATGTAAAAAAACTTGATCTATCTCAAAAATATTATCTCTTCTTAATGTTGGTTTTGCTTATAGTAATTAAAAAGTAATCTTTTTTAAAAAAGGAAAACTAACAAAAAGAGAAGAATAGCTGCATCCATGAGACAATGCAGGAAATTGAGACGGTAAACATACAATGGGAAATGAAAGGAGTAGTCAAGTTGGTATATTCTTGATGATACACGAAGCAGCTTATTCGTTACACTTATTATCTAGACAGTAATACGCAACAAATATAAATCCATACTTACATCATCAAAATCCAAGCTCCCATACATTCTGCCATAGGTACGCAGAGGTCCACCATAACCAAATGGTTCAGGATTGTTCATCATGAAATTACTACTGGGACCAGCATCATCAATTGGTGTAGCTGAATCTATTGCCACCTTTAAGACATCAAAAGGAGACTCTAATATTACCATTCACCGTGTCATTCATTAACAGCTTCCAGCAAGCATTTTTAAGTACTAGAACTTAAATTTTGATCCAAACATTCACTAATTTAGCATGTAACTTGGATTCTAATGCCTAATAGCCTCAAGCCAAATGAGAGCATTTTCATTTCATGTAAGATTTTGCTGATCAAAGTCTAGTCACATCTCGAGTTCTCTGTACTTATGATAAAACTATTTTAGCAGGCTTCTTATCAAACTCTTATCTCCAACACACAATGGTTTGCTAGTGCAGAAAAGGACTCAAACCTGTTGTCCACAGATTTCATGAGATCTTCGAGCTACACGATCTGCAACACCATCTTCGGCAAAAGTCACAAAACCAAATCCCCTGTGACCAGTCCTTTTGGGATCCTACACAAAATAGCAAGTTTGTATTATAACCAGTAATCTATTGAATTGTGAATTACATTAAGTCACTTCTATACTTACCTTTGGAACATAAACATCTAAAATACGACCAAATCTCCCAAAGTATTGACGAAGGTCTTCTACACTTGCCTCCTGAGGAAGCCTGCCAACAAAAATCTTTTTGCCCATTCCATGAACTGCTTCCCCTCCTAATTTGGGATTATTATTAACTTGGGTGCATCTAGCTTATAGTTAAAATGATACAAGGAAAACGTGCACAGAAATTAACTTACTTCCATACATAGGACCTGGATGATCATACAAGGTTGGAGCACCAAGTGTGGCATATCTAGTCGCAGAATGCATGTAAGCATTATAAGCACCATAGCCACCAGCTTGAGGCATTCGACTTGTTGGTCGGAAGTCATCCTCCTATATAGAATATAGGTGGCATAGGAACAAGTGAACAACAATTAAAAATAGAACTAAAAATTCCAACGTCTTTATGCCATAACTGAAAAAATCCAAACCTGCAGAATTGGAACCCACTAGCTCTCTCCCCCTCCCTCCCTCTACCGAGGTGGAAGTAAAGGAGAGAAGGAAAGCATGGGTTGGTGGTGGTGAGGGGTTTAAAGGAGGTAGAACATCTAACTAGTAGCTAAAACTATTACAAGATTCTGCTGGAAAATTATGCATGCAAAATGCTTAAATAGAACAGTGATTCACTAAAAGTAAAAGCCACATGAGGCTGAAATTACCTTTGGGGTTGCCCTATCCACAACTACAGTAGAACCTCCCAACTCATGGGTTTCAGCCATCAGATCATCCACTGCCTCTGTGGGAAGATCAGAATGAAGAAAGGATTTAATTTCACAGCAATCAATGTTAGCCATAAAACTGCACTTCATGCGGAGACGAAGAATTCCACATGCAAATGCAACTCAAGGACAGTTTATACATCTCTATCCAGATGATCTCAGAATTTGATTGCTTCAGAAAAAAAATATAGGGCAGGAATACGCAACCGAAAGCAGTCAGGAAAACATTCTCCTTGAAAGGTCATCTTTCCTTAGCCTTCTAAACATGTTAATATGACAACCTAAAAATACACATTTACAGTTTTAAAATCATGACAACTGACACGATGGTTCAATTCAATCTTCATACACCCATTAACATGTAAAAAAATCCCGCCAGAAATAATGTTTCTCGCTATTTTTTCATTTTTCATTTAAATTGGAAAGGTTAAGGAGGATGGTACTCCGACCTGTGAAGCTGTAGGATATGGAATAACTCAAAGGCAAAATAAATGATATCGTACAGATGAATGAGGACTTCATATATAAGGCCAGACGGAGAAAGTAGGCCACAGAAGATAACAAGATGGAAGATAACTTCATTCAGTTCCAGAAAAAGGCTTCCCGTACATATGCACATTGCTCGTCTGTCTATGCACATATTGAACCCAAAGAATTAAGCATTTATTCAATAAATTAGGATATCGAAATCTTTGGTCCTACATGTTAGAGGCTACAACGTGGACAAAGTGGTATGAAGATCTAAAAAGGCACATGTAACAAGTCAGAATAGTTGCTTCAACCAATTGGAAACACAACACCAAGAAAGAACACTGAAACTGATTTACCAGCATTTGCGAAAGTGATAAATCCAATCCCACGATGGCCTTTAGCAGTTGGATCCTGACAAAAACAAATGAAATGAGTAGGTGCAATAAAATGGCAGCATTATGTTTGATTGGAAGTGACAGCAATACAAACCTTTGGCATGTATAAATCTGTTATGTCACCATATCTCTCGAAATGACTACGATAATGTACACAAAATTTAGACTTCAGTAAGAGCGCAAAAGCCACGAAAATGTAACAAATCATCCAATTAAGCAATATTTCAGATTCACACTTAAGTCAGCATGGAGTAATCCAGAAAAGATACCTTCTGAACATAGATTCAGTCACAGATGGTGAAATCCTGGCCACAAAAATCCTGGTCACTTTACTTGGTGGAGCTCTCATCTCCTCCTGTAGTACAAGGTTTGAAAAAACACCAAGAGTTAGAATAATATTATATAGCTTCTAATCTTCTAAAGCAAACGCTGGAGGTACAACTGTACAAGCAAACTGAACAGGCAATAATTACAACATTAAAGTAGCAAACTGTAGAAATTAGAATAGCTGAATTATCAAAGAAGATAACCTTAGGTGTGGCTATTTTGACCTCCAACATTCTATTACCGAGGACATGCTCGCTTGTCAATGCAGCCTACAAAATACAAGGTGCCATAATCCGTAAATTTGAAATTATCCTCTCAATATACAAAGAGAGAAAAATGATGTAGAAAACAGAGCTAGCATAAAAATACTTGAAGCACACGCCAGTCCTAATTGAGTACCTTTGCATCCTCAACAGCTGCAAATGTGACATATCCAAAACCGCGAGATCGACCAGTTGTCCGCTCCTGACATCACAAAGGCAAAAAAGATGACAAATCCTCCTAACAGTGCTTATTTGTAGAAATCACTGAACTCAAAAGATTGTTTTCATCATATTAAGTTTCTGCTGAGTACGGAACAATTTCCCACAAGAAAGGCAATAACTTTTTGTTGGATTCTATTATTGTCCAATCAAACACAAATGCACATACACATTCTAAATTAAAAATAGTCCAACAACTATTTATTGGAGAAACAGTAATTTTTCCATTGCTTCTGATTCTGTCATCAGAAACTTGAATTTGTGAGACTTCAGAAAACATTTGCCATCCTATAAACACATTTTTCATTAACAGGTTAGACAAGTAAAATACAATAAAAGCATATTTTCTTACTAACCTTCATCACAATGCAGTCCTCTAATTCCCCAAACTTGCTCATGTATTCTCTCAGTCCTTCTGTGTCCACATCCCAAGGAATGCCCAAAACCTTAATGTAACAAGATGCACATTATACATAATACCCAAACGCATATACCTAATCCAGCGCAACTACATAATCTAAAATTTTAGACTTACGACAAGCTTTCGGTCGGACATGTTGAGGTAAATCCGGAAATTTCTGAAATCAAGAAAGGCAGCTCTCTCGAGTTTCCCTCTCTCTCACCAACTCTCAATCGCTCACGCACTCTTCCTGCACGCAACAACAATAGACACACCTCTTTCTCACAACACACAATCATCATCATCGTCATATACCAAATCAAACTCACCATCTTATCTCAGAGTTCTCGATGATGAATCAAAAAAATACCTAAGAGAATAAAATTCGCAAAAGATACAAGAAAATTATTGGAGCACAGCTCTGGGCACTCAAGTATTCACTGACCTTTCGAACCGATTTGCTGATTTTCAAAACCCTAATTCGCTCGCCCACTCGTTCTCTCTCTCCTCTCCACTCGCGCCGCTCGGCTCCCAGTAACTGACCGCTCTGCTTATCTGTACTCGCCCACGCTACACGGCTTCAAATTTATACGAGCCGACTAATTCGTTAAAAGTTGGAAAATAAAATCGCTATAATGGCCTCTAAAGTCTAACCTATTAGATTATACTGGCGAAACACGATTTTGCTATTGGTTGACTTTAGAGATGTTTGTGCACCGATGAATAGCTTAAAGTTTACTTTTTTCAGAAATGAATTTACTTAGAATAATGTTACGTGTACACCTTGTAATGTACACACGATTTTACACCCCATTCACATGGAAGGGGACCCACAAATATTTTATTGTGCGTGGACCCCCTCCATGTGAGGGGGATGTAAGGCCTTGCGTACACCATTGTGTACACATAGCATGATCCATTTACTTATAATTATTAAGCCCCCATTTGGTGCACATTTTGAAGATAATAATGCATTTTTATTGTTGATGTGATGGGGAATATGTGGTTGAAAAAGAAGGAAAAGTTATTGATGTGATGAAAAATATTATTTTATTGAAGAATGTGTGGTTGAAAATGAGTAGAAGAATGAGAATGAAAAAAATAACGT